CCTCAGAGAGGTCGCCTCTTTCCTAAACTTTCAGACCACTCCTTTCTACTCTCATGGCCACTGCAGGCATTTCCAAAGCTGACTACCAGAAAGGCTTACCTCCACCACCTGCTCTCTAAACCCCACTTTCCAACATGCTACCAGGCAGATTTATCCTAACGCAAATTTGCTCCTATCACTCCTTTCCTTAAAATCTTTCAGGACCTCCAAATACCAAATCCTTAAAACAAGCAGAATATTCTTCATGGTGTGGCCCCTTCTTGCCTCCCTAGCCTTGTGGCTGCTCCTTTCCACCACGGGCAACTCCATGGAGCTCCTGACTTTCCCTCTGCCCTCCCTGCCACTACATCTGCCTAGTCCTCCAGTGCCCAGCCCAGCAATCTCTGCTGGGAAGCTGCTTCCCGCACCTCCTCCATTGGCTGTGTACACACCTCGATGATGACACTTACATAAAAGGCTGGTTCCCGGCCCCCACCTCTCCACAGCCAAGGGGTGCATTTTACTCATTTTTAGTAAAGCTGCACACCCAATCTTGCACCTAGCACAGAAGGGTTGCTCAGTTAATATTGATAAAGCAAAACTGGGGCTAGGATCAGATCTTCAGGTGATTAAACAAAGTTTGTAGGGATAGAAATTGTGCAGTAAGTCTGTGTAAAAATGTGACATCAAAAAAGGAGCCAATAAAGACACTTGAAACATACAGCTGGACCATCAGAACTCAGAGGTAATGGGCCTCTGCCCACAATGGCCCCCCTCTCCCCTGCCCCGACCCACAACCAATGACTGGACCATCAGCTGCGGGGATCAAAGAGTAAATTCTACCATAAACAGATTGGGGACACAAAGCAACCAACCAAGCATCTAAACTAACCTTTTTGCCTGAACCATCTGACTTGTTCCTGATAATTCCCTTCTTTTTTGAGAACACTTTACCTCTCTCAGCAAAGTCTGAACCACAGAAATGCAAAATCAATCAATCAATCAATCAGCACACTATAGTACCTACATTTTGGCTATGAAAGATGTTTCTATCATTTTCTACATGAACAGGGAGAAATGATGGATTTTATTCACTGATTAATGGGGCGGGGCGGGGGGGCGGCGTGGGAGGAGTCCTGGAGGCAGGCCAGCCAAAAATGCTTTTTTTGCACACCAGGCACACAAAACCTGTCTGGACACATGCTATCTACCAGCATCAGTGCAAAAGGGCTAAAAACCACCTGTTTCCTGCCCCTACTGCCCACGTGTCACATCTGGATTTGGTTGTTGGGAGCTGATTTAGAAAATAAGGGGTCTTTTGCAAAAATGCTCTCATGCTAACAGGTTGCCTCATTCAGAAACCTTTGGGGACAATTTCTGGTGGCCCTGAACAAAGTAAATAAGGAAAAGATGCTCATAATAAGACTTACCATCTTTGATTCTCTGGTCAGGTTCAGGCCAAACAAGGAAGCAATCTTTACACATAAAGCAAAAGTAAGCAGAAACCCACTGGTAAGGAGAGAAAAAAAAAAAAAAAAAAAAAAGAAGGGCCCCAAATCCCAGTCTACTACAGGGCACCCTTCCATGTATGTATATCCTACAACCGGGGACCACATCTAGTTTAAGAAGTTTTTCTTTTTGTGCTTTGCAAATTATCTGGTGATCGATGTTTTACCCAGGAACTAAGTCAAAAATAACTCGACTGTTCTGAATGACAAAGTTAATATTCACAGAGGAATTACACAGAAACCTTCGGTACCTGAGTGGATTTTAAACTATTGGTAATGACAATCCAGTACTAGGAGAAATATGTCAGTCAACAGCTTTAACATAGCACTGCATTATAAAACAAGAGGCACAGGTTAAAATTATCATCTTCATTTCACTAGAACCTCCTCTCCCATAGTTGGAAATTATAATTATTTTGTTAAAGGATATATACCATCAGCCTACTTCTGCTAACCTTTAAAAAGACTTACTACTTTACAATGACATAAACTTTCTATTGACATGGTACACATTTCTGCTTATTGTAAAATCAGTGCAACCCACACTGAACTTGTATAACAACCAAAGACTGCTGAGATAATAACTGCCTGACATAAACTGTTGAGTTGACCCTTATAGACAGTAAAGTATCAATATCAGTAGCTTATGGAGGGAAGGGTGAAGGAGGAGATATTTAACTTTTTATTAAATACAGTTACGGTTTGACTTGATAGAAACAGCATAAATTACATCTGTAATTACAAAGAAGAACCTATTGCCACACACTTAAGATAAATTTTATGATGCCTCATCTGGTAAACATAGATTAGACCAAATTAGTTTTCTTTCTAAACTGAGATCTACTGATGACACAGCGAAACAAACAAAGCTCAGAGTCTCTAGCTTACTTTGATTTCCATTAGGGTTTTTATCCTTATTTGTTTACAGTACTCAATATGAACAGTAACACCTCACCATAACAGACAAGGGAGGGCGGTGTGTTCAGTCAGTTAAGCATCTGCCTTCAGCTCAGGTCATGATCCCAGGGTCCTGGGATTGAGCCCCCCACATCCTGCTCCCTGCTCAGTGGGGAGTCTGCTTCTCCCTCTGCCCTTCTCCCTGCTCCTTCTCTCTCTCCCTTACTCCCTCTCAAATAAATAAACCTTTTTTAAAAAAGTATATTCCTTCAAAACAGACTATGCTACTTTATTATAACTTTTTAAAGTTTGCTCCTATAATTTACATTTTTAAGTAATCATGATTTAGCAGGCTACACAGGTCTTGAAAATCAGAAAGTCTGGGTTTGAATCCTAACTAGTTATACAAAAAGCTAGGCAGATAAACCTGTGAGTTTCAGTTTTCTCTCTAACAAAAAAAGAATACTACTGGCTCCCTCCATCTCATAAATTGTTCTCAAATGAATGAAAAGTAAAGCTAAATCATGAATATAAGCCCCTCTATTCAATTTGTTCCCAGTCAACAAGAAAGTTATCCAGTTCTTTGGGTGTTAATGAGCAGTGCCTATAATAACCAAGATATAAAAATAACTTAATTGTCCAAGTATAGATGAATAAAGATGTAAATAAATGAATGTAATGATGTAATGAATAAATGAATAAAGATGTAAATAAATAAATAAAGATGTAAAAAAATGAATAAAGATGTGTGTGTGTGTGTGTGTGTGTGTGTGTGTGTGTGTATATAACCATCACCACTACCCAGCCCCCTCACCACTTCCTCACCCTTGCATGTGGGCAATGGAATATTATTCAGCCAAGAGAAAGAAGGAAATCCTGCCATTTGGGACAACATGGATGGCACCTGGAAGGGCATTATGCTAAGTGAATTAAGTCTGACAAAGATAATTACCGTAAATCACTTACAGGTGAAATCTACTACTACAGATGAAGTCATTTAGAGGTGAACTCATAGAAACAGGAGAATGGGGGTGGGGGGAGTGTTGGTCAAAAGGCACAAACTTCTGGGTGCCTGGGTGGCTCAGTGGGTTGAGCCTCTGCCTTCCTCTCGGGTCATGGTCTCGGGGTCCTGGGATCCAGGCCCGCATCAAGCTCTCTGCTCAGCGGGGAGCCTGCTTCCTCCTCGCTCTCTGCCTGCCTCTCTGCCTGCTTGTGATCTCTCTCTGTTGGATAAATAAATAAAAATTTAAAAAAAAAAAAAAGGCACAAACTTCCAGTTGTAAGACAAGTTCTGGGGATCTACGGTACAGCATAGTGATCATAATTAATACTGCATCCTGTACCTGAAAGTTGCCAAGAGAGTGGACTTTAAATGTTCTCACCACAAGAGGGAAATGGTAATTATGTGAGATGATGGAGGTGTTGGTTAAAGCTATGGTGGTAATCATTTTGCAACATATAAGCGTATCAACTGAGCACTTTATAAACCTTGAAGTTACAAAATGATACGGAAACTATATCTCAATACAGCTGGGGGGGAAATGATAAAGAAAAACCACACCTAGCTCCTAAAATTAAGTTACTTCTAAAGTTACCAGAGAAAAATAGGACTTGAGGACAAGAGCAGGAACTGTTATGTTTTAAACTGATTTTGCTTGCAGGAAACAGACTCAGAGTCTCTGAGCAGACCAGCAGGGTAATTTAATTGGCAGTCTTCTGGAGGGACCCAATGTGTCATTCCTGACGGTAATATTCTCCCTTCTCCTCCAGTAGTTTTCCCCTTCCCCACCTCCTCCCTTCCCTCTTGTTTGTTTTAATGGTTGTTCTACTCGTATTAAACAGCTCTCCCTCCTTTCCGTCTACAACTTCTAAACATTTTAAACTCTAACTGGAAATGGTAACACCCAGGCTTGACTTCCACCCCCCCCCACCTCCACCTCCCAGTCTCGCCAAGCTCCAGGGGGGCCCTCTGGACTTGTAGAAATGTCCCGAGGTCCGCCCGGACTGGGGTTTACTCCTCCAATCACGGGCCCTGCGGGCTCCGCGGCTGACAAAAGGATCCCGGGCCTCCACCCGCGGCCACAAATCCGTTCCCCGGGCGCCCCACCCGGCCCCCACCCTCCCTCCCAGAGCCGATCCTTTCTTTCACTTTACAGCGGATGCAGGTGGGTCACACCCCTGTTCTCCGAACCGGGGCCGGCTCCCCGCCCGCGTCGCTCTCCGGAATCCGCAGAGCAGGTTCGAGTGGGGAGGAAATGACCCAAAAGTTGCTGCTTCTGAGTCAAGACGTCGGCGCGCGGAGACCTCCCTGTATCTAGCATGACTGTTCCGAAGCTGCGGCTGCGGCCCGCCCGGACGCAGTTCTCCGGAGCCCGTGCGCGCCCCGCGCCTCCCCGGCCTCCACGCGGGCGCCGGCCCGCAGGCAGCTGAGGCTCGAGGCGGCCGCATTGCGGCCCCAGGACCGCGGCGCCGTCTCCCTCCTCCCCGGCCGCCCGCGTCCGCGCCCCTCCGAGCGGCCGAGGGTTCCCGCCAGCTGCTCCCGCGGAGGGCGCGGCGCCCACGCGCAGTTCCCAACTTCTTCCGGCGTCGGCCCACGCCGGGGAACCCCTCGCTCACCAATATCCCCGTCGTCGTCGTCCTCCTCCTCCTGGTCCATTTCTAGCAGAACGTCCCTGGTCATCATTTGCATGGCTCCCCCGGAGGGCGGTCCCGAACTTGGCGCGAAGTTGGGGGCTCCCGGGTTCCGGAACGACGCGGCTCTGGCTGGGCCCTGCGTCCGGGCGGGGACCGCGGGGCGCGTCTGGCTCCCGGCTCAGGGGCTGCAGCGCCCGGTCCGCACTCCTGGAAGCCCCGCCGAAGCGGCCGCCGACCCGAGCCCTGCGCCCAAGACAGCCACTGGCCACCGGAGCGGGGCCGGGCCACTGAGCATGCCCAGTGAGAGAGCCGGGCTCGCTGCGGAATGATTAAACTTCCCCCAGGTTTATTAGGCTCCCAGAAGGAAGTCGGGACGCGAGCCGGAGTAGTCGGCGTTCGCGTTCTGCACGCAAGTGACCTCGGGGAAGGGGGAGGCGAGAGCACGCGGGGGCGGGAGTGGACAAGGTTCCCCGAACGTTGCCTCCAAACGAGGCAGCTCTCTGTTCTAAGGTCATATATGGACACGTCCTGGGGCTTGCTTTCTTTGACATGTGTTACTGCAGAGGGGGAAAAACGCCGCAACAGCTCAGGTGGAGAACCCTGAAGGCGAGCACGTTTGAGCCATATGTAAAGGCTAGGTGGAGCCCATGGAGGATCTTCAAGCATCAATTACTCTGACCCCAAAGTGAGGGAACGTGTATTCTATGGGGGCAAGGGGAGAGGGAGATTGCAGAGAGAAGAGGCAAAACTCGCAGATAATAAACAATACGCGAAAAAAAGACAAAGAGAGGGATCTCGAGAAACGTGTTCACAAAAGGCCGCTGGATTTCCGCATAAAGGGAAGTTAGAAGACGAGAGAAGCGCCCCCTACCCCCGCCCGCCTGAGCACACGCAGGGAGTGGTCGCAAGATGGTCATGAGTCAGCTTAGTCCTCCCTATCAAAAATGCAAAAGAAGCCAAAGAATTTCCCTATGGTTAGAAGTAAGCTGTACTATAATGCAGTGTGAAAGACTGTAACAACCAGAGGAAACAAAGTACTAAATAAAATTGAGGCAGAAAGTAAAAGAATGCGTCCCCCGGGGACCGAAGGGAGCAGAAGGAGAAATACAAAGAGATTTCTACTTTTAAGACTCATGGGGGCGGGGGCGGAGGTGGGGCAGTTTGAACTGCAGGTTCCTGGGATTGTGTGTCTGCAGAACTGTTTTCAAAGAAGCTGCTGTTGGGTTCATTTTGATTCCTGAAAAGGGCTTAGAAGGTATATTTGAAATCCTTGTTATATTCATTGCCCTATACTTCTCATCAAAACTCTTTTTAAACAATTTTATTTATATGACAGAGACACAGAGGGGGAACACAAGCTTGGGGGAGTGAGAGAGGGAGAGGCAGGCTTCCTGCTTAGCAGGGAGCCCCATGCAAGGCTGGATCTGGGGACCCTGGGATCATGACCTGACCCAAAGCAGACGCTTAACGACTGAGACACCAGGCACCCCCATCAAAACTTTTTATATTTTTTTCCATGGAGGTACCAGAATTATCATAATTATGATGACAGTAAATCTCCCATGCATTTTATTCTCCCATACATTTTTTTTTGTTTCCATATGAAAGAAAAAACATTGGGACCAATCATAAGTGCGAAAACAGCCACAAATATGCATAAGACATGTGGAAATTAATTTTAAGAAAATGTCCAATATCTTAAAGAACAGAATTTTTTTTAAGTTGGTTTTTTTTGTTTGTTTGTTTTTGTTTTTTGTTTTTTTAAATAGGCTCCACACCCGGCTTGGAACCCAACACAGGGTTTGAGCTCATGTCCCTGAGATCAAGACCTGAGCTGAAATCAAGAGTTGGAGACTTAACCAACTGAGCCACCCAGGAGCCCAAAGAGAATTGTTTTTAATATAAAGAGAAAACAATACATTGCAATGGGCAGAAGGAGGTGGGAGAGGGGTATCAAAGAATAAAGAAGGGGGGGGATGAGGAGGAAAAAAAGAACATCGTTTTCTTCCATGAACTCCTCCCCAAAGCTTATGGGACCTACTAAATTAGAAATTCCAGAGGCATTCTAGCGACATGATCAGTTATCACAATTTTCATTTAACAAATGTGTACATTGTGCTTTTTATATGCTAGGCACAGTTCTAAATATTTTACATTGAGTCATGTAATCCTCATAACAACCCTAGCAATTATTACCAACTTTTACTCAGAAACAGTATGATTAAATAACTAATTCAATATCACACATAGGAAGTAAGTGGCAGAGCTGGGGTTCAAACCCAAGCATCTAGAATCTGGGCTATTGGCCATCTGATAAACCACCTCTAGAGACAAATCACTCCCCCCACCCCCAATTCTAAGTCTCATCAACTTTCTGCCCCAGTTATCTCACGAAATGATTGGTTTTTATGGCTTAAGTCTTCGCTCAAAATTAATTAGTAGTTAGAAAACTCTTGTGGTTGATTTTGTAATAGGTTCCCATGAGTCATTTGAAATTCTTTTTAGATTTTAAAGTTTACATTTTTGTTGCTTGATAAATGTTGCAGAGCAACACTGCTGGCCTTATGTGTAAAGGTAACTGTTGCTAGAAGGGAAATGAATTATTTACTTGCTATCTGTGAGTCTGTCATCAGTAAATTCCATTCTTTCATTCAATCTATTTTATTTTCTGTAGCTCCTCCCATACAATATTTTTTTTTCCAACTGAGTCATAAATGCGTCACACATAATCAAGGTAATTGGCCCATGTAAGAACCACATCCTTGATCCTAAAAAATTATCGTCTATATCATGAATAGTTAGTGAAATAAAATGTGTCTAATAATATGTGGCCAGGTTATTGGATTTGCAAAGCTTTTCCAAGTCAGAGTGGTAGCCCAAGTATTTTCTCTTTTATTGGTCTTCTGATGAATTACAACCCTCACTTGGCCACAGGATGCCCTTTCTCTGCCCATCCCTTGAATATTGGTATGTCTCTGATTTTGATCCTGTCTTTTTTTCTTCCATCTTTTCCTGTTGAACTCATTCAGTCTTATGAGTTTACTATCTAATTCAAACAGGGCCAGTTTCATGAGCACATCAACACCTGATTTACAGAAGGCCCAGCACTCAGAAGCACTTAATGCTCGGGGCATTAATGCTCTGTGGTTGCAGGTTTAAATCCTTAATAACGTTATCTTTAAATTTTTGTTTTATATGTGTCGTTCAATGAAACAATGAAGTGTGCTTGGTTCTCATACAGTCCTGCCTCTCACTGCCTCTGTGCCCTCCGGGACAGCTTCTCAGCCTTGCCCACCCTCCTTTTTGCCCTACTCAAAACCAGGACAACTAGGACCAAGAACACCTCAGCACAGGTACAGGGAAGGTCAGGGTCATGTTCATGCACCCATGGTGCTGTAGGGCAGGGCCTGAAGGCAGCTGTCCCTGCCCTATACTAGCAGTTTCATAGTGCTGTCACCCAATGGGTGACTCAGTGGGAATGAGCCTCTTTCCCATGCCCTATATAAAAGCATCCTCTGGGAGGCTGTGTCTTTAATGCGGTTTGGAGCCTAGAGTCCATGGGGATGGGGAAGGGGAGATACCTGGCTCCACTTCTCTACCATCAGCCAGGGCATGGTCTATCAATCCTACAAATTGGTGGGAGGGGGATCTGGCAGCTGGTGGACCTCATGTGCTCACTGAATAAGGAACCCTGCAAAGTTTTGTTTGCAACAGGCACTGCAAATTGGATAGCTGGTCCTGATTCCAAGGTCTTTATTTCTAAATCTCTCTTCTGTTTTGCAAATGGTATATATACATGAATGCTGGACATCTCCACTTGGCTATTTCTTAGATATTTCAAAATTAGCAGGCCCAACACTGAATTTGTAATCTCTGCCCCAAAGATATTTCCCTAAATTTAGGAATGTGAAGTTACACAAGCCAATAATTTGAGAAACATTTTGACTCCTTCCTCTCTCTATCCCTCATGTCCAATCAGTTGTTAAATCTTGTTATATCTGGGATGCCTGGGTGGCTCAGTTGGTTAAGCAGCTGCCTTGGGCTCAGGTCATGATCCCAGCGTCCTGGGATCGAGTCCCACATCAGGCTCCTTGCTCATCAGGGAGCCTGCTTCTCCCTCTGCCTCTGCTTGCCATTCTGTCTGCCTGTGCTCGCTCTCTCTCCCTCTCTCTCTCTCTGACAAATAAATAAAATCTTTAAAAAAAAAAAAATCTTGTTATATCTACCTCCTGGATATCTCAAACACATCCTGTATCCATTGCTGATTGGTGCATAAGTGCACAGCATGACATTTTAGCAGAAGCCTGGGGTAAGAGATGGAGATGTCAAACTACCTGAGCGAAATGGAGTTTTAGGCAGAAGGGAAAGCAAATGCAAAATTCCCAAGGAAAAACCAGCAAAAAGATCATGGTAGCTGTGGCATAATACACTGCCCAAATTCAGCAGCTCATGGCAATCAAACAGGTATCCTTTTATACAGTTTCTGTGGATTAGGAATTTGGGAGCAGGTTAGTCAAGTGGTTCTGGCCTAGGTTCTAATTTGTAGTCACAATGTTGTTCAAGTTGCAGTCACCTAAAAGCTTGAGTAGGGTTCGAAATCTGCTCCTAAAACAATTCAACCTCACGTGGTCCTGCTTGGTAGCAGTCACTTCAGTTCCTCCTCCACCAGCCTGTCTGTAGACCCCTTGAACGTCCTCATGACACAATGCTGTCTTCCCTGACAATGACTAATCCAAGAGGCTGGGTGAGGTAGAAGCCACAACATCTTTTATGACCTAACCTTGGAAGTCACGCATTGTCATTTCTGCCACAGTTACACAAGTTCAGTCAGCTCTATTGCCTATGGGAGGGGCTTATACAGGGGCATGAATACCAGAAGGAGGGCTCATTGGGAGCCATCTTGGAGGTTGGCTGCCACGTATCTCCGCTATCACTCTTGTGACACATACCACTGTCAGTCTTCATTCTTAGTTACTGAGAACTAACTATATGCTGACCACTTCCCTGGATGTTGGGGACTCAATAGTAAAAACAAAAAACAAAGACAGACAACATCTCTGCCATCAAGACTTTCCATTGTAGTGGAAAGAGACAAATAAGAAAGTGCCTGTCAGACAATAGTGGGCACTAGTGAGAAAAATGCAGCAGGGCAAGAGTCAGAGAGAATGATGGTTGGGAGACAGACTTTATAATGAGTGGTTAGGAGAAGACTCTCTGATAAGGTGACATTTTTGCAGAGGTCTGAAGGAAGTGA